CCTTCCCTCTGCTCCCTGTTCAACGGTTGCTCTGCTGGAGGAAGCCTTACCCGTCTGTGCCGATTTTTATTCCCCATGAAGGATTCATGGGGGGAAAAAATCTTTTTGGGGAAGGAAAGAAAGCTTCTCAGTTGCGCTTGGGGTGTGGCGAGAGGCAGGTACCAAGCAGCACGTCCGCGAGGGAGGGGCCCTGTGTGCATTCCATCAGCATTCCTGAACAGCTAACACCCAACACTGGGCCTCGGCCATCCTGCTTCAGCCAGCTCTGGGGCCTCTGCTCCGGATTGCGAGGTGGTGCAGGGATGGCCCTCGATGTCCTCCTCTGTGCTGGGGCTGCTTTCTCTTTGACACAGAAGGGACTCAGAGGGGACTCCATCCTGCTCCCTTTGTGCATTCTTTCCTCCTGCTATCAACCTATGAATGGCTTCCTGCACTTTATTGCACTTTATTGTCCTCCAAAGCAGGACGAAGCCCTGGGACCCTGTGTTATTTGTCTTTCTAGGTCCAAAGTGGCACAGTGCCTGACACATAGTAGGCATGCAATAGATTATTTTGCTAAACAAAAGAGCAGATAAAGTAAATTTTAAAATGTCTATTTGAATGAATGAGTGAATGCATGAGTGAATTTTCTGCCTACACCTTTATTGCAGAACAAGTAGAGAGTTTGGTGAAGTAGAGAGAACAGGGGCTTTCCACTGACTTGGGTTTGAATCTTAGCTCCACCATTCAGCAGTTTTGTGACCTCGGGTGTTACTTAATCCTGTTCAGCTTCATCTCTAAATGGGTATCGTAATCCTCATGCTGAGAGTTACCGTGAAAATTAAACGAGAATATATGTGAAGTTCTGATACAATATTAGTTACCCATCCAACATTAATTTCCTTTACTTTTGCCTCGGTTTCCTGAAGCAGACAGACCAGAGCTAATAGACTAGGGAGTGGTGAGGGCACCTGAAGCTAGTGATTTAATTTTGTTTTAAAACAGAGCCACATTTTCAAAGGACTCATGGAACTATGATTTCAACGTGGAACTCTAATATACAAAAGCTGATCAAAATCTGGCCGAAAGAGGAGCGGGGAGCCTGGGCCTCCCAGAGCTTCCCCTCGTCAGGTCTAAACTTCTAACCATGTGGCTAGCCAGAGTGGTTGGAAACCACCATTCTAGAACTAACACAAATGAAACATGTAGGCAAATTACTGAGCTCAGAGGCAGTTACCCAAGACATTGGAAGACACTCAAGAGTGAAGCTGGAAAATCCTAGTCAAAATGTGTAAGTTGATATTACGCAGTCTCTGCGTCAAGAAGACTCCCATTCAGTGGAAAACTTCTAGGAAAGACCCCCGGGCAACGGAGGCCAGTGAGTTTACTTCCATTCTAGACAGCTGGCGGAATGTTAGGAAGGGCTGTGTTCCTGGGGCACTTCAAGGCGGGGGCAGCGTGATTCCTGCAAGAGGAAACAATCAGACCTGGCTAAGCTAGGGCTCTTGGAAGGCTATTAAATGCCCATGCATAAGGACAGACTCATCAACTTATTTAGGTTAAAAGAAGAAAAACTCTGATAAATTTCCACACTGATGGCTATTAAAACAAAATTATGAATTTGTTGACCTCTCCAAAGGGCGTAGGCACGGAGAGAGAAAAAAAGGGAGGGACAAATGGACCCTTCTCTACTTCCAGAATATAAACTATGGTGTTCTCTGGGGCCTGGTAGTAGCTGTGCCTTAAGAAATTAATAACTTCTTGAGTTTTGGTCTGCCTGCCTGATAAGGAAGTATTGAAACAGAGACCCTGGGAAGGTTAATTTTATGTGTCAACTTGACTAGAATATGGTGCCCAGTTGTTTGGCCAAATACCAGTCTAGATATTGCTTGAAAATATCTTTTAGATGTTATTAACGTTGAAATCAGTAGCCTTGAGTAAAGCAGATTACCTTCCATAATGTGGTGGGCCTCACCCAGTCAATCGAAGGGTGTAAGAGCAAGGACTGACGTTTCCTAAAGAAGCAGCAATTCTGCCTCAAGATTGCAGCATAGAAACGCTGTCGGAGTTTCCAGGTGGCCACTTTCAGATTCAAGACTGCAACATCAACTTCTTAACCGAATTTTCAGGCTGCTGGTCTGCCCTACAGATTTCAGGCTCACCAGCCTCCACAACCACGTGAGACAATTCTTTAAAATGAACCTCTTTCTCTCTCTCTCTATCTTATTGGTTCCATTTCTGTGGAGAACCCTGAGTAATACACCCCTTGATTTGGATTGATTTATATTTTTTACAGGAGGAAATAAATGATCATTTTCTGATGCTTCCTGAGACCATTTTACCCTTTCCTTCCAGTTCAGATGCCAGCCCCTAACAGCTGGCTCAGATGAAGTCAACACTTTCTGTCTCCCTTCCACACAGTGATGCCAGAGCGAACTTTCTAAAGCAGACATTCTCGAATGATCATACAGAGCACAGAGAGTCCACCTACTGGGGCAACATATTTTGATGCCAAAATTGAGTAATTGCAGTCATTTCCTAATTTGAAGAAAAATTAATGATGAAAATTTGTCATTTCAAGCATTTTCCTCTCACAGATTTTTCTTCAGTCTTAGGTATCTGCTACCACCTGTCTAGCTGGAATCTAGTTTATAGTACGAATTTAGGTCAAAATGATCTACTTACTTTAAATTTAATATATCCACACTTTGTAGTGTTCCGCAAAGATAAACGTGCCTTCGAGGTGTCAGTCCCTTAATCAGTCTTGAGACCCACCGTCCTCAATCGCAGCTCTGAGTTTCCATCACTCCCCTGCTTCAACCCCTTTAAGGCTCCCTCTTGCCTCCATTTAAAGGGGAACCCTGGAGAGCTCCCGCCCCACCAACCGCCTCAGCCACAGGCTCCTTCTTACTTCCTAACGCCTCACGGCTCCACTTGTCCGCCCATTCTCTCCTGCCGACCCACCTCTTCAAATCCGGATTTCTCCCGTACTGCTCTGTCGCACTTGAATTTGGGAACTTTCTGGCTTTGAGCTCTTGGAGACAGACCAATGACTTCCCTTGCCTATATCTACAGGCTTTGTCCAGACTCAACCATTTCATTTTCCTTCTGGCACATGGAAGAGAGGGTGGGCAATTTCAGAGATAAGGCACAAACTCCTTAGCCCACCAGCTTCCCAAGGACCCTCGGAGCGTCCTCATCACGCGTCCAGGAGGCCTTGCGCTTTGGATGGCTCTGCCTCTGGAATCCCTGCTCTCATTTCTGCCCACTGAACTCCTTACCACCTTCTGAAGTTCAGCTGAAACCTCTTCTTTCCCCATCGACCCTTGCCCAGAAAGATCCTTGCTTCCACACCTCCCTCTCTGCCCTGAGCAAACAGCTCTCCAGGGAGCTCAAACCGTGTCCTGTTTGGTGGGTCCATGTGTGTGGCTTTTCTTCCCTGCTCGCCTGTGCCATGGCAATCTAGCCTGGTACTTTGTTACCTCTTTTCTTTACCCAAGTTTGTTTAATAAGTTATTCTGAATCCACAAAGGAATAGATGGCCATGCATTTAAAAAGTCAATTTGACAGGGGCTGGCCCCGTGGCCGAGTGGTTAAGTTCGCGCGCTCCGCTGCAGGCGGCCCAGTGTTTCGTTGGTTCGAATCCTGGGCGCGGACATGGCACTGCTCATCAAACCATGCTGAGGCAGCGTCCCACATGCCACAACTAGAAGGACCCACAATGAAGAATATACAACTATGTACCAGGGGGCTTTGGGGAGAAAAAGGAAAAAATAAAATCTTTAAAAAAAAAAAAAAAAAAGTCAATTTGACAAATAACTGCACTAAAGAAACAAAATTATAAACTTTCAAATTAATTGATGAGTGACACATCTAGAAGTCAATGACTACACTCTCGGTAGTTTTGGTCTAACTAAGAAGGTATGTGACGAGGGAGAAATTAAGGTGTCATTTATCCTAGGCCATTATTGGCCATGTGTCCATTCACAGCATCACAGGATGTCAGCTCTGGCTGCCAACTTGGAGGATTTGTAGTCAGTGCCCTCAGTGTACAGATGAGGGATCTAAGGCTCCAAGAGGGGAAGTGACTTGTTCAAAATCATCTAGGTATCATTTGCAGAGTCAAGATTCGAGTCCTGATCTCCTGACCCTTAAGCCAGACTTCTATTGAATTTGTTGCATTCTTCTTCTTCTTCTTTTTCCTTTTGTGAGGAAGATTGGCCCTGAGCTAACATCTGTTGCCAATGTTCCTCTCTTTTATATGTGGGACGCTGCCACAACATGGTTTGATGAGCGGTGTGTAGGTCTGTGCCCAGGATCCGAACCTGTGAACGCCAGGCTGCCAAAGTGGAGTGTGCGAACTCAACCACTATGCCACCAGGGTGCCCTGCATTCTTCTTTTTAAGGTAGAGAGATACCACCTCTCTTTACTTTTCTTTAAAATTAAGAGAAACTCTGAATGCCCTGCCCTTGAGCCTGCCTTTCCCTTACAAGTTAAGCCACTGGGGGAGTCACATAAACAAAGCTGGCGAGGAGAGAGCCTTCCACCTCGCCCTCCATTCAAAGTCATCCTCACTCCTCACCCAATTTCTGAAATCCCACGACTAGAGAATGACCCCTTTGCTCCTGATTCTTTTGCTTTTTGACTGCACAAGGAAACTGGGCATCCACACAGAAGTCTCTCTCAAGATTTAGTCAGGAGATACAGGTTTTCCCAGGGTTCTTGGATTTTTCCTGGTCTGTGAGGAAATTTGAGGTTGGAATCGGGATGGGGAATAACACCCCGGTAGAACTTTAATTTCAGTTCTGAGAACTGAACAATATATCAGAGGGTTTAAGAAAGTAATTTGTACAGTTCAAGTAAAGAATCACATATTCTAAAGTACAAAAATGACAGACTATGCCTCAGGAAATTCATTTCTTCTCCTTTCCTTTCAGACCCCTAGCACCCCTCCCAGGAAAGCAACCCCACCATAGAGAGTGCGGTTGGCTTCCCTGCCCAGCGACATCCATCTACTCACAGCGCCGTCTCCTCCTCCTGGCACCGGGCCGGCTGCTCTGCGAGCCGCGCTGCCTGAGGTCTTTTCTACCCTGCGGCAGTTCTTCCAAGCTCTGGCACCAGGAAGGTCTGTGATTGGGAGGAGGCCTCTCCCATGGGCTGAGCCTGAGGCTGCCTGAACCTGCCTGCCGAGGCCGGAAGTCACAGGAAACTCCGCTGGTAGATTTCTGCTGCTCTGGAATGAGTGATTCTGACAGATGGAAGCCCGGGACCCCGCTCAGCGCATCACTCCTCTGGATTCCTTCTGCGTCTGGGCTTCCTCGAACACGCACTCGAGGCTTTCGTTTTTGTTCTGATTTGATTTATTAGTGTGATTTGATCCTTTGTTCTGCTTTTGTGCATTAAAAGTCCTCTCTATTGTCCTGACTGCTCAAAGTCACGCTGGTACATGTTTATCTGTCTAAGGTCTTGTGTAGTTTCAGTATCTGTTAACTTGCATCTGCTACATTACGGGGAAAGTAATTGCCCAAGTAATGCTCACACTGGAGGGGGTCCAAAGACTAAAAACGGGCAAGAGATCTGGAAACAGACTGGGAGAAATTCAGGCATAGAGAGAGGGCTCAAGTACTTATCTGACGATGTCCCGGTCCACCCTTCCTTCCTGCCTTTCTTCTGGAGTCGCCATGTGTCGCACACAGGCACCAACATTTCTTTGAGGTTAATTTTTATTTTGGACAGTTTTTTTTTAAGATAAAAATCAGGTGAGGAGGGGCTTCTTCTACCCTAAACATTTCAGAAAATGCATAAAATTTCCATGGTAATAATATTAGAAGTCTCACCCATCAGTTGAATAAATAGAAGGAAGAACTGGAGAGAGATTTTGAAGGCCAGAGTTTGGTGTCTAATTCACAGTTGTTAGAAAGATCGTTTCCTCATGATTTCACTATTTGTTGCTGTTTGGTTCAAAAAATAAGGACTATCCAGGACTTTAGATAGATGCCTCTGGCTGTGGTGGTTGTAGTGGGAGTGTTTGTAAGTGTGTTTGCACGTACAGCACCAACATTTCTTTTAATGGCTGCGTAGCATATCATGGTGCGCGTGCGCCACAGTTGATTTAGCCTGGTGTTAGCGATGGATGACGGCCGTACTGTTAGAATTTGCTGAGTACTTAAATCAATAGACTCAGTTGTTCCTCATGGTTCAGGACCAGCTCTATCACAGGTGAGGCTCTTCAGGAAGCAGACTCTGAGACAGAGTTTAGTGGGCAGTGCATTTATTAGGGATTCAACATCCATGGGAAGGAGACGGAAGAAACAGGTGTGGGCAGAGGGAGAAGTGGAGCTGCCAGGAAGTGGAGACAGCCTTGGGCAATCCCTCCTTCTAGCCCCAGGAAACTCTGAGGAAGACGGCCTGCCTCAGTTGTTCTGCAGTGGGCCCCTCTGCGGTCAGGCCTTAGATATGGGTCGCCCTGGGAAGGCAGCTCCCTGTAGCTGAGGCAATCCCGGAAGGGGGCTGACAATGGGGCTGGAGCTGCCAGTACCCTCAGCAGCCGGCAGCACGTTCTACCTTGTGGGGGCCTGCACAGGGCATCTGTGTCCATCACATGCCTTCTTCCTCCTCAGCTCTCCAGGGCCTGGTTAGATACAGCATCATAATTCACACAGTGGAATTCTATACAATTGTGAAAAATGATGCCACAGAAAAATATTTAATGACATGGAAATACATTCATTCATTTATTCAACAAGTATTTATTGAGAATTTATGATATGTCAGGCACTCTTCTAAGTGCTAAAAATGAAAAAAGCAAATTACAAAAGAGTTTGTATAATTTGACACATTTTAATTTTTTTAAAAGGATATACATATATATGTGAGTTAAAGAGTTAGGACGAATATAAAATAAATAACAGGGTTATAGCTGGATGATGTGATATGAATGACATTTTTTCCATTTTTTTGGTAGTTTCTTTGTTTACAAAGGATCTATATCACAATCATAAAAAGAGAAACATGCAAGTTATTAAAAACATGTGCCACATATGGAAATCTTTGTGATAAAGTACCAAGGAAGCAACGAGCACAGTTTCCATTCATGTCTTAGGCATTTTATTTTCTATTACTAGAATGATGTGGGGAGAAGATAAACACGAATCTTTAAAAAATAGGTAAAATGAACACAAAACCCAATAACAAGAAACAAGAGACTAGCCAGGCAAAGGAAGATTAATTTTCAGACAATAACTGCAGCTGATCACATGAGGAATTTCAGGTCCTTAATGTATAATATGATTGATTGATTTTCCAGTAATCGCTTTCTAACTGTGTTCTGTTAATCTTTCCTTTCCCTCTGGCTAGGTGGCTCCCTTAACCACATCTTAACCCAATTCCAAAACTCATCAGTAAATTCTCATTACTAAAAATCTCAGTTCAGTTGGAAAGACCCAGATTTTTCTTCCTATCACTACAGTTTAGACTTGGGACTCCAGTGGTTTGGGAGTTTGAGGGAGAAGGAGGAGGTCTTCTCTCCAATAATCCCCCTCCCAACTCCCTGTATACGCCCTCTGGAGTGAAGCGACGTCATCTGACGTGACCTGGGAGAGGCTGCTGTCCTTTCTGTTAGTCATCATCACCACTCTCCACCATCCGGCTCACCGCGAGCAGCCTCAGCGTAGACGGGGGTGCTGTATAGATGTGGCTGATGAGAATTCTCGCAGAACCCCACCAGCTCCCCTAAGCACCGGGGGGTGCTCTGCCCCTTCATTGGTTTGCAGCCAGTCTGTATCCTCCAATCTCACCTACACTCCAGGATTGCCAGATCCACCCTCAGTACCTCTTAGAAATCTGGAACTAAAGGGGCTGTGCATGCCGCCTTTGCTTGGCTAGGCCACTGCACCATCCCCTCCAATGCTTTTCCTTCTCTAGTTGTTCCAAGGCAAGTTAACAAGCTTGGTGACTAATGCAATTTCTAACTGGGCTACAAGATGTCGGTCCTATACACACCCTCACACTTTCCAGCCTTCCTGAGGCTTCTCTCTCATCTTTGGGACGAGGAACCACTGGAACATTCACAAACATTGACTCCTAAACAGACCCTCACTCCAAATCCACTTTTTTATGGGGGAGGGAAGGAGCTGTAGTGTAAACTGAGCAGGAAAGCAACTGGCCCCGCATCTGGAGGGTCTTCAAATTAGGAATGTGGGTAACAACGCTTTTTGCTCTAGTCACCGGTTTCAGGAAGAAAGACTTCTAAAACCATCATGCTGTCTGCCATATTTTCAGTACTTCCTAAAGTCTCAGGCCCTGTCACATTACTCTTCACAACAGCCCTGGGAAGCACACATTGTTATTAACCCGTTTTACAGACGAGGAGGTGGTGATTGGGGAGGTTAACTGGCCCTGGTTACAGAGCTATTTAGAGGTAAAGACTCTGGTTGGTCCATCCTCACAGGCTGCATGCTTAACTACTAGGCTGTTTGACTATAGTGAGACAATCAGTGTAAGTTTTAAAATGGTTTTAAAATTTTAAATTACTAATGTGATTTTTTTCTATTAACTAGTTAACGAGGTGAATAGAGAGTAGAATATAGAATATTGTTCCCCGGATATGTAAGAGGCTGTAGTCTGCAACCGGCTCACAAGTAAGTCTGCAGAGCACCTAGGCTCCTTGTGGAGTGAGCAGGTCACTATCAGAGCTCAGCTTCTATACTGAAAACGACTGCGCCAAACCTACAACAATGGGCCCTAGGTGCCCAGATCCGCACAATTGAAAATTGCTTTTCCTACAACCATTGCTTTTTCTCTCTTCATAAATTTTACTGAAATGTACAAATTCAGGCTTTTTAACCTTTCGTGGGTCCTCTCTTTTACTCAGCAATCCTTTCGCTCAATGTTAATTGATATTCTCATATTCCCTTCAGCTCCTGTAGATGATAAATGCTTATCTTAGTTCATATTTTTAGATTATGGCCATGACAAGATGACTTCTTAAAGCAAGTCTAGCCCTCAAAGAAAAGCCTCTACAATCTCTCTGCTGTCCAATATTAGGGGGCAAGTCTATGAAACTTGT